CCACTTGAAAGTCTTTAGAAATATATTGGGACTTGGAGTTTCTAACTGAAACTGCTTCCAGATATAGATAGTATCAGCCTTGGTTCTTACCCTTAGACTTCCCTGAAATTCACACATACATTTGAGTCTATCCTCTTTAACTTTTTGAGATATGAACAATGTATTATTTCACACATACGTTTGAATCTACCCTCTTAAACTTTTTGAGATACGAACGACGTATTACTTCACACATAAACTTTTTGAAATTCACACATACGTTTGAATCTACCCTCTTAAACTTTTTGAGATACTAACAATGTATTATTTCTAGTACAGGTAAACTTGACATGGATGATAAAGAATTTAAAGCAATTATTGATTATTTATCGTAGACAATAGAAAATAGACCAAATCAATTTGATAAGTTTCATGAAATCCATATACCAAATCAATTAGCATAATCAGTAAATATACAAAATCTGTAACCCATGATCCAATGCAAATAATTAAAATGCTTTCAATCTAGATCTAATGCAAATATGCACAAGATCAAACTTTTTCAATACTAATGAAAAACCCATGTCAGAAACGTAGATTGTCATTTAAAACAACCAAAACCTAATATATATCTAAAACCAACACAAGGTTTTTATGAAAAATGAAAAAAAACCATGATAGTACCCCATCAAAGATTCAATTAACAACAGAAAACAGAATATCAAAGAGAAACTCACCTCAATCCCCTCAAGAACGTCGAGAATGATTGATAGCAATGCTCCCTTTGCTAGGAAGTTCCACAGGAATGATCCTGTGCTGGATAAGATCGACGCTGAGCTCTTGTTTTGTCCTCCGGGCATGCTGGTGCTTGGAGGATGGTGTGTGGGGAAGGGAGAGAATGGCAGTGATCCTTGTTTGGTTGTCAGGAACCAAACTGATCTTCGGCCTGGGCATATTAACAAAATCAAAATCAAGATATTTTCAAAATCAAAATCAAAGATATTTTCAAAATCAATTCAAGATATTTTCAGATACCGCATCTCCTAAACTCTATACATATTAACAAAATCAAAACCTAAATTTATAAATTGATCAATACATGCCAGAAAATAAAAATCAAAGTTTATAAATTTATCAACACATAACATAAATGTTTCTCAGCTGCGGCAGCACCCTTCCGAGGCCCTCTGCGTACTTCCTAACCCAGTGCGTGAAGCTCGTGCCTTCAGCCGGAAAAACCAGGTAATCCCCTTTGAGAAATATATAAATCGAACCAATTACTAAAATCAAAATCAAAATCAAATCAAATCAAAATTTATAAATTGATCAAGGCAAACAAGAAATTAATCTCTTGTAAAAACCTTGCTCAATTTGTTCACTTCCTTTGTGGACGATGGGGATAATAATAAGCCTCTTGATGAAGATAATAATCATCTTTGTCATTTGATAACCGACAATTGATGAGCTAGAGAGAGTGGGACTGCGTTGTCGGAGGAATTTCGTAACGGATGGAAGGAAGAAGGGAAGGAACGAAAGGCTTTACATCTTCTGATGTGAGCAACGAAAAAAAATTAACGGATGAGGGGAAGGAACTAAAGGCTTTACATCTTCAGATGTGAGCAACTAAAAAAAATTATAGATGAGAGAGAGAAACTTATGTCAACTTAAGTGAACATCCACTAATTTTTTTAGTCATTGATTTTTACTTGATTGAGCTACATTATGGATGATCCGCTCCATTGAACTTGATCTACATATTCTAAAATCCCAACACACCAAATTTGGGGTGAACTCGTCGTGGTTTGACCATTCATCCACTCGTATTAATTTTAACGGTTTTGAATGAATAGAACTTTTTACATGGCTCGACGGAGGGTCAAACCACGACGGGTTCATCCCAAATTTGGTGTGTTAGGGTTTTAGAATATACTAGCAAAAGTTTAGATGTTGGGGTATTTGATAATTATATTTTTATTACAATTTTATACTCACATTATCTATTTTATATGAATAAATATACCACTAATAATTATTTTTATCTTTAATTGCAGTTTAATGAAGAAATAATGAAAAAAAGCCTAAAAGACTCCAACATACTTATTTTATAACCTTTTATTGAAGCCCAGAATCAAGCCGAGTAGCCTGTAGAAGCCGAAGAAAATCAAAAATCCAATATGAAAAAAAATCATATTTAAAATGGTTGGCCGCAAAAAAACGACGATATCTTCCAATCCGGAAGGCAAAATTTAACATATAATATATAAAAATCGCCTATCTCGACGAGACGAAGCCAATCGTGTAGTCAAAGTTTTTATTGGAGCATTGATGCTAGCATCGATGCCGGTATCGATGTCAGACGTTCTGTTATGCATCAAAGGCTGAAAATGGATTGTTTTGGATAAGATTTTGATCCAATGGGCTCACATTCACTGATGTTTACTATAAATAGGGGTAGAGAGTAAGGGGTTGGGGTGTGAAAAATTTTATATCTCCATTTGGAGATGAGGGTTACTCTTAATTGAGAAGACCTTCCAAATTTGTAACTTTTTGTTATAATTAATAAAAGAATTTTTTTCACCACTTTAAAATTTTTTTTCTTCTCTTTGTTGGATGATGAAGATGGAGATGAAGATAAATTTGAAGGTTTGTTTTTATTTTCTATTTTATTTCTTTTTATTGCTTATTAGCTTAGATTTATTTTCATGTTTGTAGTTAGATTTTATTTTCTTGTTTAAATAGCCAAGAGGCTAGAGCCCTCTTGCCTAAGATTTATTTCATACTTATAGAGTAGATTTATTTCATGCTTATAGAGTAGATTTATTTTCTCTCATTTAATTCTTGTAATTTATTTTATAGTTTAGTTTTTATAATTTATTTTATAGTTAGATTTTATTTTCTTATACTATTCACCTTGAGGCTAGAACCCTCTTGGGATTAGTTTTTTTTTTTTCTTTTATTCATTTTTATTTTTTTGATTCGCCTTGAGGCTAGAACCCTCTAGGGAATTATATTTTCTAAGAAGTGGATTCAATTCTAGATTTCTCATATCTTTAATTGAATCATCCATCTTTATTTTCTTAAATTTTCTTTTAATTCTTGATTTTTCTTTTTGTTTCTTGATTTTATTCATCTTTCTTTCTCTCCTTGTGAAAAGCATTCATACTTTGTCAATTGGGAGAAATGTGTATGCTTGGTACCAAGCACAAATTTTATAAATTTCATAATTTTTGGGGATTGTTTGTGTTATTTGTAGGTTTTTAGTGTGTTTATAGGTTTGGAATTTTTAAGGTGTTTTTTACAAATTTTGAATTTTAGGAGTGTTTTTGTATTTTTCAAAACTTACAAAATACTTTCTCCAATGTTAAAAACTTTTATTTTTAGCTATCATATATTTTTTTAGATTTCTCACTGAATTAAAATAAGTAAAATTTATAATTTTCAAGATGTTTTAATAAAATTTTGAATTTGTAGGGGTGTTTTTGCAATTTAAAAACTTAGAGGGTATTTTTTACAAGGTATAAAAAATTTTAGGTGCTAGTTAGCATATATTTTTTAGATTTCTCTACAAACTAAAATAAATGAAAGATTTAAATTATATCAAACGTATCACCTTTATCCAATAACATGTTAAGTCTCATTATGGATAGGATAAACCATTTAATTATAAATTCAAAGAAGATAGAAAAATTAGAATATGTTAGGATAACAATGTAATATTTAAAAAAGTTAAGTGTAATATTGACCATGGAAAGATTTTTCCTAACTTGTACTTTTAAAGGGATTATGATATATATATATATATATATATATTATATATATTAATATATATATATGATATATATATATATATATATATATAATATATTATATATATATATATAAAATTAGCTTTCTAGACCATCCAAAATTCAAGTTTCACAATGGTGCCACTAATCCCTTCACATTTTTTTATGTCTGTGGCCGCTGTTTTTTAAAATAAAGCTGTGTCCATGGGGCTGCTCCGATCATGATTCCAGGCTCATGATTAGAGCATGTCAGTTCATGATTAGATATGTCCAGCTGTACAAAAATTTAATTTTACCTTTTCTTTCTTCATTGTAAGCTCATGTTTCGAGAATCATGTTAACTATTATAGAATAAGCATGTTAACTAATTAATATATAAAATTGGTTTGAAGGCTCAATGTGTGAACTGAATAGTTAACGGATGTTACCTTATAATGTTTAACCATGAGATACGAAGTTCGCTGCGAAACGGTGCGGCGCAGAGTGAGGGAGGGAGGTAGGGGAGGGGGCCGTAAGGAGAAGGAGGGAGGTGTAGAGGGGAAGGTGCGAAGGGAGGGAGGCGGAGTCGGGGAGGAAGGGAAGTTGGGGAGGGAGAGGGAGGCGGGAGCTGGGGAGGGAGGCGAGGGGGAGAGTGGCTGAGGGGCCACAAAGAGTAGGAGGAGGGAGGTATAGGAGGGAGGCAAGAAGCGGAGGAGGGAGATGTAGGAGGGAGGCGGGGGAGAGGCTTAGGGGGACCGGAGGAGGAGGAGGAAGGTGTAGGAGGGAGGCGGAGGCGGGAGTTTGAGGGGGACCAGTGGAGGAGAGGGAGATGGTAGGGGAGAGGTGGGGAAATGGGGGGGGGGGTGGCGGACGGACGGCCGCGAGCACAGCTTCGGGGAGGAGGTGCGGAAGGGGCTCTAGAGGGGGACGCGCTAGGAGGAGGAGAGAGTGTTAAGAGGATGAGGTAAAATCGGGATTTTGGAGGAGGTTGTATTGGAATTTGGAGAGAGGGGTCTGGACACAAAATTTTTAAATTATAAGAGCTGCAGCACATTGGGGGAGGGGGGACCTGGGGCACATTGTAACTTGAATTTTAGGGCCTTAAAGCAATATATATATATCTATATACTACTTCTAAAAGAGAAAACAGATTTCAAAACTTATGCATACCCAATTTGCCCTCTTCAAATTTCGTAATTCTAATTTTATCCTATATGTATATATGTTATCCCTTTATTTATTCCCCATCATCTTTCATAACGCAAAGAATCTCAATCTCCCCTTCGTTATCCGCCCTTTCCGCTGCCCCTCTCCTTCTCTTTGATAATCGACTCTTCTATCCTCCTTCATTATCTGATCTCTCCCCTTCCCCTCTCCCTCTCTCTTTGATAACGCCCAAATCCGTGCTTTCCCCTGCCCCTCTCCCTCTCCCCCTCCCCCTCCCCATCTCTAAATTAAATTGACGTTCGGACTCCTCGCTTCAGTTTCCCTCTCCCTCTCGCTAGCTATCTCTAAATTCATCCTTATTTCGACGATCGAGCTCCTCACCTCAATTCCTTCCGTTTTCAACCATTGGCAATGTAAGTATGGATATTGGTAGTAACTGCTACGGCTTTCCAATCCCTATAAATTATGTTGTGATTCTATAAATACCTTCTGCTTCAATTTTGATGGAACAAAGAAGGTTTTTTTTCCAATTGTAAGTATGGATATTGGTTATTCTTATTACCTTCTTGTAATTTCTTATTCATATTCTCAGTTTGATTGTTTGATGAATTACTTTTATTTTTGGTATTGATTGATTGTTGATTGTTGCTGTTAGGTGTCGGAGATTGATTGGAGGAGTAGAAAGCTATTAAGGTAAATTATTATTTTTTAATTATTGAACTGTTGAGTTTTTAATGCCCACAATAAATCACCAGGCATTCACCAGAGATAAAGAACTCCTGTGTGGTCCCTTTGATCTCTTGGATGCTCTCTAAGTTACCAGTCCTTTTTTGGCTACGCTTGACATATTCTGTTCTTTCCTCCTTTATGACTGTTAACATGTACGAGTATGCTCATGTTTCTTTTTCCACATTTAACTTATTTCATTTTTCACCATCTTCGTCAATTTTCTCGTGCAGATTGATGTATCGCAGGCTATTGTATGTGTTATAGCGTTCCAGATTGCAAATTTTGGTGAGAGCATGATAGGTGCAGCACTACAAGATAAGGAGGGTTTTCAATGGGTAAGATATTCTTGGCCTCAATTTGTCTATATTGCCAATTTGCATCTTTGTTTACCTTTTGGTCCATATTTCACATGATTTTTGAACAATATACCTTCCTATTATATCACTTACGAAAAGCTATCATACTTTTGGACTTCTCAAATCCATAACTGTGTGGAAAAAGACAATGGAGTCCTGTGAGAGCGTATCTTTATTTCTGAGAATGCTTCTTATAGTTTAAAGCATGAAGCCTGTACATGGTAATGTCTTATTGTGCCAGGCTTTAAATGCTAGGAATGTGATAACTAGAAATCGAGGATGCACAATTTGTTAGATATGAGCAGCGTACGACATATGACATAACTTGGGTGGTGTTTGACGAGGTGTTATGTTCTTGTGATGAACCATAAACCCAAGAATGACATATGTAATTGAATGTTGGCGATGGTTTATGTTCTTGTGATGAACCATAAAGCCAACAGTGATATATCATATATGTATCATATATGTGCATGAAGTTAAGCTGCTCAGAACTTAGGGAAAAGCTCTAATATTGCAGGGAAGAATATCATAGATTATGAGTGCTAAAACTGGGATTTGCATCAGTTGGTTGTCTGCTAACTTGGAGTATGAGAATGACAAGGCAATTAAGGTTATGAATGATTTGATTGGTAGACAGCCAACTACAGCAGAACATAAAAGTGCTAAAAATATTTACCAAGACCCTCCAATGAGAAAAATACTTCTCTCATCTGGAATATGTTAAGCAAGAACTGAAATGGGAATAAGGAATATGGTTATGGTTATGTACTTTTCTGGAAGGATTGTAGATTGTTTTCATAGGTTGGAGTTGGTGATAAAAAGGAGATATGAATGGGCCTCAGATAGATAAAGGTCTTTTAAACTGTGAGTGGAAAAGATAAGCATGTAGCCTTAATGGCTAATCATTTCATTTTGATACACATCCAGAACTAAATAGTGTTACCAGATCATTTTGGCATTTACTGTCAAATAGATTGTTGCAAGTCGGAAACAGTCCACATGGTTTCACTTCATTTTTGGGTTTGGCATGAACCTGACAACTTTTGAATTTTCCTGTAGTTTAAAAAAAGAATGTACCAAAAGATTATGCTTTCTGATATCATGCTCTACCAATTAACGCAACATTTGTCATGGATTTTTTCGTAGCTATACTGTCAATCCTTTGTTTTTTTTTTATGCTTTGCCCTGTGAAGGTAACAAGACCATGACTTCTTTCGTTGTAGCTCAACAACGACCTTGTCAATGTAATCAACATCTCCATCGGCAGCATTCTGGCTTCTGATGCAGCAGCTCATTCTAAGGAGTTGACAGGGATGACATACCCTTGTTGACATGTTATCACGTTCCATCAACCTATGAGAACTCATTGACGTTGACATCCTTGTATGAAGAGAATATCTCCATGAACTGGAAGAGGTGTAGTTTTATTTCTCACTGTTAACAGCAATTGATAAGTAAGGACAGTAATTCATCTAGAGTTAGTAGCATTTGATAAGGACAGTAAGGACATTCATCTAGAGTTAATGTAACTAATGCAAATATGTCTTTTCAGTAAATTGATCAGTTATCTATAATTTTCAGGGAGAAATTCTGCTCCTGCTCAGCTTTCAGCATCCACTGAGAATGGAAGTATTATGCAAAATTCTAATAAGACTGTAAAGCCATTCAGTGTGCATCCCTTGCCTTCATTTATTCTCAGCCATAAAAAAAACAGTAAACCCAGATCCGTACATTATTCACATTTTAAATATTTACATTTGGGTTGTCTGTATATTTTAAATATTTACATTATTCATATTTTAAATTATTGAAATTTCATCATGTGACGATGAAGGTGATAAAAAAGATGATAAATGAGGGTCACTCAACCAACAAGCAAGCAATTGTTACTTCAAATCGACTTTATGACGATGAAGAAGAACCATCGATTGAGGAGTATTATGATGATGAGGAGAGCTCTTATGAAGTTAACAAAAAAAATGAAGGTTGAGAATTCAGATCCTGATTATGTCCCTAGCGAAAATGTTCCTACTACTGCTCAAGTCAATTTTCTTTTGCTGCTAAGATCAAAGACGAAGAAGAAGCAGATAAATTATTTACTGAAGCTATGGGCATTCTTGCAGCTATCTGGAAATTTCATCAGGAGAATGAGTTGAGATGTCTTAGTCTTAGAAGAATAAATGTCAAGTCAATAAATTTAGGTCTACGAGTTTGTGAATCTTATTGTTGGAAGTTTTTATCAGCTTAGATAATGTGACAAAGAACTTATGTTTAGATCTTTATGTTTCTTTAATATTGACTTTATGAATGATACGGTTTGTGTGTTAAATATGATATAGTTTTCAAATTTATTACTTCATTTTCAAAGCTTCACAATTTTTTGTGTTGTTGCCTATCCAATTTTAAATTTATATAATGTAACAAACTCTTGTTGCCTTTTTATAATTGTATGCATATACCCTTGATTTATCAAACCAAATACTATTTACAAGAGCAAATTCGCTTTTGCGTAAGTGATTGGGTGATGAAACCAAAACTTACTTCTAACACTATTTATGTCTTCGAATCTTTTAAGTCAAGATTCGTTTTTTGGAAAACCTTGTTTTATAATGTAAAAACATGATATTTATGTGCAGTTACTTTTGTCTCTACTAAAAATTTGCAGTCCTTTTTATTTATGCAAATAGTCCACCAGTCATCATCCATAATTGTGTGTCAATCACGAATAGCTAAGTTATCCACACAAATCTTCTGCCCATTTGAGAAAACATAAGTTTCGGATAACTGGGACTGAAGAAACATCTATCACGAGGATTTTAGAGCACTGCAGGTCAGTCATTCGCTATGGAATTTGACTAGATTTTTATCGATGTACATTTTCTTTTCAAAAGTAATGATTTATATAGTTTGTATAGTATTACAACAATAGTTTTATTACTGGTGCAATTACAATGTTGACTTATTCATATCTCACATTTCAAAAGATTGATAATGTATCATCTGATCGAGTTTCGGGAATACGATGTATATGTCGTTTGCTTTAAATCAGCATTGTGTGTTCTATATATATTGCTAACATATATGTTACATAAAGGTATCTACATTAATAGAAACTAAAATGGATCATTATGTTACAAGCCTTCTTCGATTCCAGGTTTCTCCGAACCAATGCGGTCCAAATGTATGTACTAATGCCTACTCAAGTTTATAAATAGGAGTGACATGATACCTTGGGCTAATGAGTTTCTACTTCTCACTTCCATGCTGTGCAAAACTGTAGAAGAGAGGCATATACGAGATAGGAGAGCTTTTCTGCTCCATAGCCTTTTTGTAGATGTTGCAATTTTTAGAGCGATTGCTTCCATACAGTATGTAATGGAAAAACGTATTGCTTCTTCAATTGAGAAAGATGAAATTTTGCACTTCGAGATAGTAGGGGATTTCAACATTACTGTCACCAGAGATACTTCAGATGCAAGCTGCAAGTTGGATACAAAGATTGATGGGAATAGGAAAACGGGAATGGACCGCAAACATCTTATAGAGAGAAACTTACTGAAAGGAATCACTGCTGCTGAAAAGACAACAACTCATGTGGGATAAACTCTTAACTCTGTATTCACTATTATTCTCTTTTAATAAACTGTGATACCAAGTGTTTTTCTTCTTCTTGTATTCGTTGTTTCCTTTCTTTTCTTTTTTATTCTTTCTTTTTTGTGAGGAATTGTATTCATTGTTATTAATATAGGATTTCATCACCTTGGGCGTCATGAATGTGTGGTATTGTGGTTATATTGCAACCGTGAAAGTCAACAACTTTGACAAAAGTAAATTGGACCCTTTGCAAGCCATTGATATTGAGGACCAACCTGATGGGGGAGCTAATGCTCAAAACATTAACAGGTAGCCTAGGATGCATGTACATCTTTCGTTCTCATCTATCTATATAATTGCTTCTAATGTAGTTACTGACTACTTTCAGTTAGAGAATGTTTCTTCACGCGAAACCTATAAAAGAGCAGATAAGAGCAGCTAATCACGCTATGAGCTCAAAGCATGAGGAGCTTACTGTAGGCCAAGCTTTTGTAGAGAAATTGTTAAATGACAGTCTAGCTAGGCTTGACGAAGAGAAGACTGACGAAAACGTCTTCATGAGATGGGAACTTGGAGCTTGCTGGATACAGCACCTGCAAGATCAAAAGAATGCAGAAAAAGAGAAGAAACCTGTGGCTGATAAAGATAAGAAACATAACAGCGAGAAGACTAAAGGTGAAACAAAGGTAGAGGGACTTGGAATGCCTCTTAAATTTCTTAAGAATACAAAGAAGTTAGATGGCTAAGAAGCTTCTTCCTCTTTGGATATGAAAACATCTGTATGTCAACGATGGTGAGAACCAGAATGATCAGCCTTTGTCTACTGAATGTAAATGAGACATTGTAGCACCTGACAAAAACCAACATTTGCTAAAAAATTATTATCTGATCCAGCATTTACAAGGCTAAAAGAATCTAAAACAGGACTTCACCTGCAGGTATGTAGGGGGAGAAGCAGGAATTGTTGACTTGTTATTTTTCAAATATAATGATATATCTTACCTAAAACATCATCGTGAATTTTTCAAACAAAGTCTTTTCTTGTGCTTCTGTTGATCAACTGATGAAATCAGCTGATGCAAATATACACACATATATATATACATCTTCCTGGATATTCCAGGCATCGACTCTCACTCGGTGTAGTATCTGTGATTGGACTCCTCTCAGGATGATTCTCTAGGGGAAGCTGAGTGCTCTTCCTATTTTCTTCAAATGTGAAATTGTCAGGGGATGCAACTGATGTTTGATGTCCATTAGTCTCTAAATTTGCACTAACAGATGATTTAGAATATATACTTTTTTATATATAGAAATGAAAGTTTCTTAATATATTCAAGAGAAAGCTTTGCGTCATAGCATGCATTTGTATCTAAGGAATGAATCAACATCAACTCTTTGATCGAACATGAAAAAATACTAACATTTTTTATCAAGTTACTTCGTCGTATTTGGATATATGTTGAAAGAATTGGATTATAAATTGAAATAACGTAAAAATGATTCGTAAAAGTGATCAAAGCATGACTTTGATCCTGAGAAAGAAATTTACAAAATTAAAGAATGTTAAAAATAAGGAAGAATAGGAAGAAAAGGAGAGAACTGTTGTGCGCAGCGGAAATTTCGGCAGAGTTTCTGGTGCACAATAAGAGAGAAAGATCAATAAAAATTCCCGTCTCACCAAGGAGACAAGAATCTGAAACGAATATCTCAACAAAGTGAGATATCGGCTCTTCCTCTCATCAGTTCTAGGACTGACTTATCGCGGGATTTTAAAAACTATTACAATCGCCACAAACACAAACAAATCAATTTTACGTGGTTCGGCAAACTGCCTACGTCCACGGGGCAAGGAGGGGGGAGATCTACTATTACAGAGGAGATAATACAACTAGGGTTTACAATCACTCAATCTAAACTCTCACACAATTATCTCTCTCAAAACAGCCAAAAGGACTGTTTGCATGAAGCCAAAGAAAGCCGCTGACTTTTCTTTTGCACCTCTGCCTGCGCCTGTTCTCTGCAGCAGCCGTTTTGCGCTTCTAGTACAGCCGTCGATTCCTTTTCTTCCCTCTGCCTCAACTTCGCACCCCCTGCACTTTTCACCACGAAACCCTAGAAACTAGGGTATTAATAGCAACGAATTGTTATTGGGTGGGCCTGCACGAGATTGGTCATGAGCTTCATAAACGTGGTTTGCAGTCTAGAGTGGATGAGTGGCCCCCACGAGATCCCACATGAATCCTATCTCTCACACTCTCCAACAATTCTCCACATCGGTGAAGTTTTCGCAAAACTTAGCCGACACCAAGTCGAGACCCAATCCACGACAACGGACTCAATCCACAACAAGTCGAGACCCAAATGAGAGTGCGAACACTCTGCCAAACGTCGATGTCTACTCACCAAATCGGTCTCATCCCCATCAAAATCCAAAACCCGGCTGCGTCATAAAGACTACCTACGTATCCTCTTACCCAAGGAATCAAGCCTCACGTAGTTTACCCAAATAGCCGCGAACGACCTCAATCTAATAGAAGAGTTCGCAACCCTTCTCTAATATCATCAATTCTGCGGCTGATAGCACCTCCAATGGCCTCAAACACCTCCACCTGAGGTAAACCAATAGTCATATCCAAACTGCATCTATCAGCTACACTCGAATCAAAACCCAACTCATCATCTGCACCCAAATCCAAATGATCCCTAAGCTGTGTCACCTCAGCTGGAATCCCAAACAAGACAATATGATCTGGAGTAATCTTCACCCAATGTGGAGTAGCATCACTCTTCACCTGCTGCGATACATCTAAGGTCTGTCCAAAACTCTCCACTTGTTGAGAGTCAATTAGCTTCCTCATTGAAGCCTCAACCATAGTGACATTACCAGACCAAACATCCAATGGAGTTTTACCTCCAATCACAACAGTTGACAACTCTTTAATAAGATGGCTCGAATATGTCGAAGCCTCAGTCCAGAAACTCTTCTGCAGACTATTGCTTGACAACAAATACTGATCCTCCTCCAGCAAGACACGGTTCTCCAAATTACCACCCTATCAAGTTGCCCCAAGATTTCCTTTCTAACGAAGTGTCTCGAAATGCCGTGAGCTCGGCTCCAATACAGAAACAGGTCCATCTTATACCTCCCATCAAAATGAAGTACTTTCATCTTTCTGTCCATCTTACACTTCTTCAAACTATTAGAGACTACTAGGACTTTATCCATAGGGGATTTGGTTGCAACCCAAACACGCCTAGAACAACCACCAACAAAGGAAACCAAACTTCCATTACCTCCCAATGATGCCTCCTTGGAAGGTCCCCAAACATCTACGTGAACTCCTCCAGAATGACCCTTAGCACGGTGAATAAAGGTGTCAAACTTCACCTTGGTCTTCTTGCTCACATCAACATGTTCACTGGACTTCAAACTACAGGTCTTCGCACCCTCTTTCAATCTATGTGAGGAATCAATACTGGAATGGCCAAGCCCCAAATGCCGTAGTCTAGTCGAATCAATAGAAGTCGCCAGTTCTCCACCTGCTACTATACCTCCAGTCAAGTAAAACATGTTATTCCTCTTGACGCCCTTCATCACAATCCGAGAGTCTTCCACAATCTTGAGAACAATGTCCTCAAATCGAACATTCAGACCCTCTCCAACCAAAGCTCCAATCGAGATCAAGTTCTTCCTCAAAGAAGGAACATATCTCACATCATTTAACTCCCTAACAGTCCCGTCAAACATTTTTATGCGAATTCTTCCTATCCTAAGGATTTGGCATGCACGGTTATCAGCCATGTATACCACACCACTATTTAGCTTCTCAAAACTAGAGAACCATTCCCTTCTAGGGCACACATGATAGGTCGCACCACTATCCAACATCCATTCAGATTCCTCCGAATAGCTATCTGTAGGACTAATAGAAAGTGAATAAATAGAAGAGTCGGAATTATTACCGATATAACGATGTTTGCTTCTGATGATGGTTGTTTTCCTTTTCCCTTCTACTTATTCTTCATCCATTCGTCGAGCTTTGGATAATCTTTCTTCCAATGACCAGTCTCCTTGCACCAAGCACACTAATCTTTTCTAATTGTAGGATGCCCTACTCTAGACTGTGACTTCCAATTCTTCCGGTTCAGATTCTTCCCTCTTGCGGCCAACACCTCTGCTACCGGCTCAACTGAAGCCTCCTTATCCTTCTTTCGAATCTGATAGTTCACAAGTGCAACAGTCACCTCACTATACGAAAGAGATGTCTTCCTATTAATCAGAGTAAGAACAAAGATCTCATATTCCTCGTCGGGCAAGAAACTCAATAATAGCAACGCCTTGTCCTCATCTTCAATTATGACATCCACATTCGCCAAATCCGCAAGAAGCTTTGTGTAGGTGTTCATGTGATCACTAATTGAGGTTCCCTTCTTCAATTGGAATCGATAAAGTCTCCTCTTCAAAAGCAAGCGGTTCTCAACACTCTTTGTCAGATACTTGCTTTTAAGAATCTCCTAAATCTTCTTTGCAGAAGTCTCATTCATCACATCATATTTTAGATCTTGAGTCAAACAAGACCTAATCACATCACACGCCGTTCGATTCATATTCTTCCAAACATTCTCTTCAATCTCATCTGGCTTGCCATCTAACTCCAATGTATCCTCTAAATTTTGCGCGTTCAGCGCATCCAAAACCTCGCATCTCCATAATCTAAAGTTGTTTGTGCCATTAAATTTCTCCACATCTATCTTCATAGAGTGGATATTCAAACTCTGAATGGTCTTCGCGCCAGAAGCACCACTCTCGACACCCGAAGCACCTTCTTTCCCCGATATCTTTCTCAACGCATCAACGAACGAAGAATAGATCCAAAACTAAAAGGATAGAGTCTTTTACCAAAAGATCCCACCTTTATCACCAAACAAAGGCCTAAACGAGCCTCCAAATTGATCTACTCCTTTAACCAAAACAAAACCCTAGATTTGGAACCTGAGCTCTGATACCACTTGTTGTGCACAGCGAAAATTTCGGCAGAGTTTCTGGTGCACAATAAGAGAGAAAGATCAATAAAAATTCTCGTCTCACCAAGGAGACAAGAATATAAAGCGAATATCTCAACAAAGTGAGATATCGGC